TTTTCTACGCTCATCACAACCAATTTCAATATTGTTATTCACGCTATGCATTTTGTAAATAATCAAACTACAACAACAACAAACCAACCAACCATCCAACATGCAACCGATAACAGAAACCACAACAACGACAGCGACAACAAATATATCGACCAGTACACCTAGCAAAGTGCCCCCAATCAAGAAGGAGGAGGATAAGAAGCCTTCACCAGGTGGCGCCTTCTATCCCACCTTGGATGGCAAGCCGCCCAAGTCGATAGGCGGTCTCGGGATCTTCGAGAAGCCGGAGAAGACCGAGAAGGGCCACAAGAAGGTGCAACATCAGCATCAGCAGCAGCAACATCAGCAACAACATCAGCAACAGGAGCAGCAGCAGCACCAGAATGATGTTATCTTCGATGGCGATCGCACCGAGGAGCAGGAAGGTCCTTTGCCACCGAATGGCGGATTTGTGCCCTACGAACACCAATTCGGCCACCAACATCCGCATCAGCAACATCTGGGACCCTATGGCTTTTACAATCCCGTGAAGCCAGTGTACGAGGACTACAATCCCTATGATCCCTATATCAATCCCAATACACCGCAGGGTAAACCACAGCCCACTAGTCAGTCCGATTTGTTCAATATTCTGGGAGCTGATCAACCAGGACAACAGGGTCATCCGGCTCGGCCTGGGCCTCCAATGCATCCTGGACAAACGCAAAAGGACAATCACAACCTGGGACCGCAAGTGAGAATCGAACAGATACTGCAGCACCTGCAGCAAACTGTTCCTGGTGGACCGCCCCCACCGCCGCACCAGCAACATCCCCAACAGCAGCAACAGGCACCGCAGCAACATCCCGGTCATTATGTGCCCATTGTGCACAGTGGAGTGCCGCCACCGCCACCAGGGCATGGAATTGCCATCGTCGATGGGCAGACAGTGGCCTACGAGAGCTATCCGGTGATACCGGGTCTCGGAGTACCGCCCCACCATCCGCAGCAGCATCAGACGACCCCGCAGCAACATCTGCAGCAGACCATCCTGCCCAGCTCCAGCACCACCTCGGGCCTCTCCACGCAGGCCAGTGAGCACAGTCTGCACCAGAATCAGGACAAGCTGGCCAAACAGCAGCAGTCAGGTTGAACAAACTATTCTAGTCACCACACCCCTTAGATCTCCTCTACTCTGCTCAGCTCTTCAGCAACAACAGAAACACTGCGACAGGGCTCTACTGTACTAACTGAGACAACACCAACCAACAACACAAAAACCAACAACAGACACTCGCATACATACACACATCCATCCTATACACCCATTTAGCAAAAAAGATCATCCATCACTAACATGCTTACTGCTAATCCGCAACTCAAGCGATTTCCAACCGAAACTCGTTAATTAATATCCGGGCTACAAATACTAACTGAAAATAAACATTTAAGTCAGAGATGAGCAAGGGTTGATCATCGTGAGAAAAGCATGGGAATTTCCACGTTTATTTACTTTAATAATTTTCTAATGATCTTAAGGAAAGAAAATCACCAAATTATATTTTTGACGAAATAAACTGTGTATATACATAGTTGGTACATTAAAGCAAATCTTAACTAATTTTAAAAATGTATATACTTTTTTCTAAAGAAAATAAACTATTTTCGGCATATTTTATTATAAAACAACTTAATTTATTTAAAAGTAAATATCAATTGTAAATTTTAATGATCCCCAGTATTGCTCATCTCTTTTCTCACCCCCTATAAACATTAAATTAACCTTAAATCTTTATTAAATTCCCCCAACTAGGAGCTAGCAACCTGCAGCCCGACATCGAAGTGCATACCCTGGAGGCCATCGATCCTCGATCCATTCGCATCGTCTTCACCGTTCCCCAGGTCTATGTGAACCTCCATGGGCGTGTGGAGCTGCGCTACTCGAATGGACCCAGCAACGATACCTCCACCTGGGATCAGCAGATCTTTGCACCCCCCGAGGACCTCATTGCCACCTCCCAGATGGAATTCGATCTGCCCAGCCTTGAGCCAAACTCACTGTACAAGGTAAAGATCACTCTGATCCTTCGCGATCTGAACTCGCAGCCCACTAGCAGTGTGTACACCGTGAAGACGCCACCCGAGAGGACCATCACTCCACCCCCTCCGTTTACCGACTACAGGCCAGACTTCCAGGACATCTTCAAGAACGTTGAGGACCCCGAACTGACGGTCAGCGAAACGAATTCCAGCTGGTTGCAGTTGACGTGGAAGAAACTGGGTGACGACCAGATGGAGTATGTCGATGGAGTCCAACTGCGCTACAAGGAGCTTACGGGCATGATATACTCCTCATCGCCGCTGATCCATCGCACATTGACCAGCTATACCATCCAGAATCTCCAGCCGGATACGGGCTACGAGATCGGCCTCTACTACATTCCATTGGCCGGACACGGAGCGGAGTTGCGTGCCGGACACATGATTAAGGTGCGAACTGCCCAGAAGGTGGACGTGTATGGCTTCGATGTGACTGTGAACGTAACTAAGGTGAAGACCCAGAGCGTGGAGATCTCGTGGAATGGAGTGCCCTACCCGGAGGACAAGTTCGTGCACATTTACAGGGCCATCTACCAGAGCGACGCTGGCAAGGAGGACTCGAGCGTCTTCAAGGTGGCCAAGCGGGACAGCACCACTGGTACCCTGATCATGGATCTCAAGCCAGGCACCAAGTACCGCCTCTGGTTGGAGATGTACCTGACCAACGGCAACACCAAGAAGAGCAATGTGGTCAACTTCATAACGAAGCCAGGTGGTCCAGCCACTCCCGGCAAGACTGGTAAGTCAACGAATATTACTCTAGACTGGGGGGCTCAAAGGGATCTAATTATTTTTCAAGTCTTGCAAATTTTCGAAAGGATCCTAAAGGGGTTTAAATTGTTTGGTAAAATTTCAAATGCATTTACTTATCACTTTTATTTAGACTTTCCTATAAAGGGTATTCTTTATAAAGAAATTATTTCAGTTTGTTGGTTAATTTAATTTGAGTTTAATAAACGTGCAAATAGAAATTAAATATCATTGTTGAAAACCTATTGTATTGTAAACTTACTTTCCATTTTTCTTATTATTCTTTTAACAAAACTTTTGTAAAATTTCAAATGCATTTACTTATCACTTTTATTTAGACTTTCCTATAAAGGGTATTCTTTATAAAGAAATTATTTCAGTTTGTTGGTTAATTTAATTTGAGTTTAATAAACATGCAAATAGGAACAGTCATATATTTCAATTAAATATCATTGTGGAAAACCTATTGTATTGTAAACTTACTTTCCATTTCTCTTAGGCAAACTTCTGACTGCGGGAACCGACCAACCAGTGGGCGATTACTACGGCCCTCTTGTGGTTGTTTCGGTGATCGCCGCTTTGGCCATCATGTCTACGCTGGCCCTGCTATTGATCATCACCAGGAGACGGGTGCACCAAACGGCGTCCATTACACCACCACGAAAGAGCGACGCTGCCTACGATAATCCCTCATACAAGGTGGAAATCCAACAGGAGACTATGAGTGAGTACATCCCGAAAACGCCTTATATTTTTATATTCTAATGTTAAATTCTTAACTTTCAGATCTGTAACTGACTCAAATAACTAGTTTAAAAACAGATTCTTGTAAATATTGGAGGAAAGAGAAACAGAAGAAAAAACTCAGTGTCAGTAAAAAATTATAAGTAAAGATCCTGAAGCAATCAGATTAAATCAGATGGAAAGTAAGCAATTTTCTAAGGCCGGCGCAAGATCAAAAATTTGTTCAAATCGGAATCGCCGCCATGTTGTATGTAGTGGTTAAGTAATCGAAAAACACACATTTTTTGTTAAACAATTTGTGACTTGTGTAAATAGAGAGAGAGTGAGACAGAAGGAAACACCCTATGGAAGAACTAATTGAAAAAAGCTCCACAACTAAAATTGGCCTCGCTGGGGGCATCGATTCTTCTAGCGATTTCGAAATGCATACGAGTTTAGTTAGTTTAACTTGTAAATTTTAGCTTTACACTTATTATAATTAAACGGCGCATCAGCATCAGCAGAACCAGCAACAACAGCAATATTTGGCTCAAGGATGCGCTCTTTAATTAACAGTCCATAAATATTTAAATTAGCTTGTAAAACCTACAGAGATATGCATATGTATGTATGTGTGTATGGATAAATAAAGAAAAGATAATAAAACCATTTTCTTTTTGTAATTTTTAGAATAATAATTATTATTAGTGTTCTCGTCCTACATTTTTAAAGGTTTTTTGTTGTTTGAATTATAAAATCGGACCATTCCAAATATGGTGAATTGAAAATTGCGTTCACTGATCCTGCTAAATATATACACTTTATATATCTTTCGTTTACCAGTCACATACTTTCCGACGAACACAATATACCCTTTTTATCTACGAGTAAAGTGCCTCGATAGTCTGTTAACCAATTTCAAAAAATTTGAATCGAGTTTCTCCAAACGCAACTCTATTGGCGCTCAAAAACTAATGACTTGAAAGGGGTGACCTCTCTGGCAGTAACTTTACTTACAATGTTAGACCTAATATATCTGGATCCTATGATAAAAAATTGATTGGTGGATAACCAAAGCATATTTAATTGTGTATAATCCTCAAACTTCACAAATCAATATCGAGAGGTGTTAAAGCCAATAAACAAAGTTTTCATTACCTAAAGGTAGTTTCTGAGTAGATTCTTATCTTGGTTGATATATATAAAAAAAATGCACACCACGTTTGATAAAAAAATATTTATTATCCATTTTATTAGTTTTCATTCATAATTTGTTGTCTCGACTTCAATGACATTCATTAACATTAACTGGTAACTCCTCATGACTTTTGCCCAAAATGTAGTTTTAGTTTTGGGGTTGCTTTACATTTCCATTTTATTTTATTTAATTTTTTGTTTTCTTTGCTTGCAGCACCAACAATATCGATATCTATATGATAAGATATAGATGTATATACAAAATGCACAACTAGATTTCGCTTTTCAGAATTCAAAATTCAAATGTTTCGTACTCTAATGCCACACTAAATGCTAAAGTTCTGATTTACTTGTATGTGTAGTTATAATCGAAGTTATTGTAGAGCAAAGGGGAAAAAATATTTAAATATCTTTTCGCATTTGGCGTGAACAAATCTTTGAGTTTGCATCTCATAAAATTATTGTACAAGTAAGATTTAAGTAGATTTTTTGGGTTTTCTGTGTAAATGTACATTTGCTTTGCTTGGTTTTGTTTTTGTATTTTACTTTTTGTTTTAATTTTAAAAGTAATCACTGTTTAGCCTCCGTTCTTTGACATTAAGTTGGTTGTGTTGCTTGTTTGTTTTGGGCAAGGCAGGAGCAGGACTTGCCGGAAAGGGAATAACTGACTTATTACTTGGTGCTGGTGCTAATGCTGGCAGCGGTCTCGCTGTTGCTGCACTGCTCGATGACGCTGTTGCCTTCCGCCTCGCTGCTGGTTGTGGTGGAGGAGCTGCTGTCGTCGTCATCCTCGTCCGCCCCTTCCCCATCCTCATCATCGTCATCGTCCTCTTCGTCCTCCTCGTCATCCTCATATACAATTTCGTTCTCGATCAATCGCATGTCCATGTCCATACTGTCGAAGGAGTCGGTTATGACACTGTCATCATCAGTCGTAGTCTCGTCCTCCTGCCCGGACGTGTCGTTATCCAGGTCCAGCTCATCATCGCCATGGCCCTGTTGCTGCGGCGAGGAGCCCTCGCTGCCGGTTTCAATGCGCATCTCCTGCATCAGCTCCTTGATTAGCTCAGTCTCAATCTCGGTCACGCCCAGGCCCAAATGTTGCTTGTTCACGTCCATCAGCACGTTCTTAAGGTTCCGGGCCAGCAGGCGCATGTGCTCATCGCTGCAGGCGCTCGGACTGGTCACATATCGAATGTAGTCCTCCAAATAATAGGTGTTGAAGCTATCACGACTGGGCTCCCCGCTGCTGAACTGCTGGTGCGTCAGCAGCAGCTGGTTGATTAGCCAGTTACGACCGCCCTTCAGCACTTCGATGGCGTCCCGTACACATTGGCGGCCCAGCTCAAAATTGCGGTACAGCGGGTAGGTGATCATGCGCCGAAGGAAGGCCACCAGCACGTCGCGGTAGTTGTCGAACTGCTCAAAGTAGCAGTACAGCGGACAGAGGATGCTGCGTGTCCATCCAGATTCGCACGTCGCCTCGTTGTTGGTCGTCCGCACGTCATAGCATATGGCCAGCAGAATGCTGATTAACCCACAATCGATCTCGTTCTGGCGCAGAATGTCGCAAGGTTGCTGCTCCCGCTGCTGCTCCCGGCTGATGTTGTGCAGCAGATGCGCCTGCTCCTGGGTCATGGAAGTTTCGTAGATTTTCGGCTTATAGCGTAGAGGATTTTGGTGACCGGACGGAACCTGTAGCTCCACAAAATTGATTTTGTACTGTTCGCGCGAAAAGCGCTTCATCTCGTCGACCACGCGCTCCTGTCGCCTTTGGATCGGGCTCATGCGATGCGGCTCCGCCACACGACATGTGGCTCTGTCCACCTGGGGAAGCATCTGTGTTTAGTTTATGGGAAAAGGGCAATTCGTACGGAAGGCTCACCTCACTCGTGTCCAGCGGACCGCTGTATTTGCTAGCGAAGCCGTAGCCAAAGTGGTTTGTCAGCTTGTAGGTACGCTCGTGGCCGTCGAGCTGCAGTTGGCACTGATCGGTGATGCGTTTGAGTTTCCATTCCTGGACCAGGGGCTCTTTGTCCGGCAAATGGGCACTGGTGGCGTCGGCCAGCGTTGGCAGGTGCAGGAATGTGGCGATGTAGTCCTTGCGCCCGCTCTTCGGCTTGGGAGCATCGCCCGTACCACCGCCGCCTCCTCTTTCGCCCCCTGATCCTTCCTGGGCGCCTGCTGTAGGCGGCAGACAGCGCAGGCAGATCTGGTAGTGATTCTCCGTCGTGTTGTACTTTATCAGCAGCGTCTTCAGCTCCCGCAGGTCGAAAGTGCGGCGGCTGTGGAATCTGTCAGCGAAAGGAAATGGAAATGCGTATTGATATCGCTGGAATTTCGCCAGTGTGGGCGTGCCAGAGTGGAGGCAGTGACTCACTTGTACAGCTTGACGTCTGCGTAGAAGTAAAGATCGTGCGCGTCCACGAATATATCGCAGTTTCTTATGCGATCCACATGCAACGCCTCCGCGCCTCCCGCTCCTGCCACCACCGACCCCGCATTCTGACCATGCTCCTCGCCAGCGGAAGAAGAAGCAGCAGCAGCTGCTGCTGGCTGGGACGACTTTAAGGACTGGCTAGCGGCAGGCGGGCGGGGTATCAGCAGCGTGCACGAGTTCTCCAGATAACTGTGTGCAATCTGTCCATTCAACATCTTATAATTTTATTACGTGCTTGCTGACTCTGCTAACTACTGTTTTTTAGTATAATTTTATTTATTTTAATGACCAGTATGACCGCCTACTCGAAACAAAAAAACCAATGCCTGTATTCTAGCTTACGTTGTGTTACGTTACGTCTCTACGGTGAGCATTTGGCTACACTCTACGTAGCTATTTTTAAGTGTACAAATTCAAGTGTATGAAATTAATTCATTTAGGACAGTTTTCTCGTCCGCGTGTTAAATTTAAAGTACGTCCCACTGTCTAAACCTACTTAATGTAGAAATTTGTACGTTGAAGTATTTATTGTAAAAGCCTAGTACTCAGTACGACGAAAACTGCTAGCTAAGCATAGGAGTAAGCGAGAGGCAAATAGGTAGCTAAAGCCTTTAGCCGGGGACTTTTTTCACCGCGGTACTCAGTTGAGCTAAGGAAATACCAAAAAAAATACAAGATTTAGCGGATGAATTCCGATGACCGTCTTTAGCCGCGGCGCAAAGAATACAAAATTTGATCTTTGGCTGTGCTTGTGCAGAAGCAGTGTACCAATAAAAAGTTATAAATGGAAGGAAAACTTCAAAAACCAATGGAAAACTGCCTGTAGGAGTTGCGGCAATACATTTCGCCATGCCCACAGCAAATTTAAAGCTTGCGACCCAGGTCGGCTCAACGTTTTGTAATATTTTAAAATTTATATTTTAAAATTGGCGGATATGTATTGCTGCAATTCCTACAGGCAATTTTCCATTGGTTTTGGTGGTTTTCATTCCATTTATAATATGTTATTGGCACACCACTTCTGCACAAACAGAAAAAATAAAAATAAAAAATTTATTCTTTGGGCCGCGGCTAAAGCCTAGTACTCAGTTCGGCTAAAAGTTTTACTAGTCGAAAAATATTAATCTTTTAGTGTGACCGAAGTTTTCGGAGTTCATCCGCAATGCATGTAGCCTGGTCTTACTCACAGCAAACATCAACTGGCGCCAATATTAAAATTTTACAAAATGTTGAGCCGACCTAGGTTGCAAGCCTTTAATTTGCTGTTGGCATGGCGATATGTATTGTCGCAACTCCTACAGGCAGTTTTCCCTTGGTTTTTGTGGTTTTTCTTCCATTTATAAATTGTTATTGGCACACCGCTTCTGCACAAACACAGTCAAAGATTAAATTTTTTATTCTTTGGGCCGCGGCTGAAGGCGTTCATCGGAATTCATCCGCTAAATTTGGTATTTTTTTGGTATTTTCTTACCATTTCCTTAGCTCAACTGAGTACCACAGTGAAAAAAAGTCCCAGTTAATGGCTTTAGCCTACCTATTTGCCTCTCGCTTACTCCTATGCTTAGCTAGCAGTTTTCGTCGTACTGAGTTAAGCCTAGTATAATATAGGCTATAATACCCTTTTTTTCAATATGCTCAACAAAATGTTTATTGGTTTTTTTTTTTTTTTTTTGATGATGCGGCTTTTTATATAGCATATTTTTATTTATAGCGTTGATCAACCAACTTAATGGTTATAAAACGCATAATTTAGAACATAGAAACAAATAACAGGAAACATAACATGAGTGTGGAAATAACAATTTTATAACATTGACAGTTCTACATTACTGTCCCAGGACGCGGGTTTGATAGCGTCCTCTTGTCCAGAGATCACCAGGGTGTCGACGCTTCAGCCTTCTTCTTGTGGTTGGGTTTGCCAAGGATGCAGCTAATTGATTGGAGTGGGCTAGTAGTCGGTCGTTGTAGCGGCTTGAGTGCATGTTGATTTGCTCTCTCACTGAAGGAATGTGCAGGTCACTGGCTAGGACCTCATTTCTCACGTACCACGGTGCATTTGCTATCGTGCGCAGAGCTTTGTTTTGCATTCTTTGTATCCTCAGGATGTTGGAATCCGAAGCAGTGCCCCATATTTGAATGCAGTAAGTGAGCGATGGGACAACGATAGACTTGAACAGCAACATCTTGTTACTGAGGCTGAGCGTACTTCTTCCTCTAAGCATCCAGTTCAGCTTTCGAAGCTTGGCACGACAAGTGGCTGCGACTTTGGTTATGTGCTGCCTCCACGTAAGACGCTTGTCCAAGATCAATCCCAAATACTGGGCCTGGGGGGATTGCGGGATGACTGTGTCCTGGAAATTGACCCTGGGAAGGATTTTACTTCTTAGCGAGAAGTTGCAATGCTGGGACCTGCTTCCGTTTATAGCAATATTCCATCTGGTCGTCCATTCGCTATACAGATCTAGGAAGTTTTGTGTCATTCGGGACGCTTCGATACGGCATGCTGAGTTGGAGATAAAGGCAGTATCGTCTGCATACGTCGCCAAGAGACTACCCGGTTCTCGAGGCTTTGGCAGATCGGCGGTATAGAGGGTATACAGGACGGGGCCAAGTACACTACCCTGAGGTACACCAGCTCGGATACTTCTAATAGTTGATCTTTCGCCTCTGACTTCAACCATGAAGTTTCGATCTTTGAGGTAGGATTTTAAGAGGAGAAATTGCCCAGTTGGCAAGAGAGTTTTTAGCTTGAAAAGCAAGCCATCGTGCCATACTCGATCAAAGGCCTCATTGACGTCAAGAAAGATTGCCGAACTGTACTGCTTATTTTCGAAGGCATCTATGATGTGCTGGGTTACCCGATGAGCTTGTTCGGGGGTACCGTGGTGACTTCTAAAGCCAAACTGGTGGTCTGGAATGGCATCCTGTACGCATCTTACTGCCATCATTCTGCTAAGAAATATTCTCTCGAATATTTTAGAGAATGTAGTCAGCAGACTTATTGGTCTGTAGGACGCAACAAGGTTCTCCGGTTTACCTGGCTTGGGTATCATTGATATCACAGCACACTTCCATTGGGTGGGGAAGTGGTGGATACGTAGCATGGAGTTAAAGAGGAGAACTATGAACAGAATACCTTTCTTGGGTAACGCCTTTGCAATCCTGCTGTCAATTCCGTCGAATCCTGGAGCTTTACTGCGATGGAGCTTGCGAATTTGAAGACAAACCTCTTCCGGGCTGACATGACGAATTGGTTCGATAGCTGGGGAGGGTGTTATGTGGAACTCAATTCACTTTCACCCATGGAGGCTATAATACCCAGAACAAGGTATCGATAACATAAGGGGAAAAAATATTGAGCGCTAAAAAAATTAAAAAATGTATATTAAAATAATATTATAAAATGGACATTTCGGCGTCCGTCTCCCTCGAGGTCGTGCTCCCAATCCTGGGCATCCCGTCCCAGATGGCCCAGCAGATGCTCCAGGAGATGAATCCTGTGGCCACTGGCCACGGAAGCGTGGATCTGAGGGAGCATATGAGGAATCTCATGGACGACCCGAAGCCGTTCTATCTGCATATGGACGAGCTCTTCGCCCCCGAGGTGCGTAATATCTCGAGGCTAATGTATATAGCTATCCTGACCCGACCCCCGACCATTGTTCTAGATTTGCAGCACACCCAAGATCGGATGGAAGTGCAATACCTTCGCCATCCAGTCCGTAGACGGCCTGTACTTCCGGGTCGTCTACGTGGACGTGGTGGCCGCCAATAGCTCGGAGCGTTGCAAGTTCCACTTCGAGGCTATCATGGAAAGGTTGGACAAATACAACTTGTCCCGTTACATGGTGGCGTTTGTGTCCGACGGAAATCCGATGAACAGTTTCTCCCTGGGCAGATGGACGGTGCCCAACTTGTGGGACATAACCCCGTGCTGGATTGGTTCCCGAAGACCCACGGAGAGCGAAACCGGACCTTGGAGCGGGCGTACGACGTTCGATTTGGGCGGTCGACCTTCCATGAGGCTTTCGCCGACATCAGACGGAGCCTCGAGGAGGAGGTGGATGCCATGAACGCTCGCTCGAGCTCCGGAGTGGTGCTAGAGGAGAGCCTGCGCCACCTGCACTACATGGAGTCTGCGGTTGAGAGATTTTTCGCCTCCAGTGGAGTTGACAAGTTTGACCCTAGATTCATGTCAAACAACACTCTGGAGCAAATATGAAAAAAATGGAAAGCCCTTATAAACTCAATGATGGCTCCAAACGGTCCCCTGGACGCAGACACCTTGACCGAGGAGGGTTGGGAGTTCTATCCACGAGTTATGCCCTGCTCGCCTACGTCGAGGGGTACCGCGACACCGCGTTCCCTGAGCATTAGTCTTAATACTTATATATCATCATATCATACCAAAAATACATATTCATTTGGTTTAGAATAAATTGTTGTGTTTTTGTCCGCGAACACTCCTGGGTATTCAGTTCCGGTGGATACCGGTGGGTAAAGCCTAGTACTCAGTTCGGCTAAGAGTTTCACTAGTCGAAAAATATTATTCTTATGTAGTGTGACCGAAGTTTTCAGAGGTCATCCGTATTGCATGTAGCATGGTCTTATTGTAAACCAGCTGGGTTCACAAACAGCTTGTTTGCTTAGTTTGTGTAGTGTAGCAATAGGTATTTTGCAACACTACACAAAATTAACTGATCTACAAAGTTCCTTGTCGCCATTTGTTTATCAAATCTATTCACATAATTTTCAAATTGGATATGGAGAAACCCCAAGTCGAAGTTGTGTTGGAGGAGGTTAACCATATTATCCAGGAGTTTATGGATAGCGCGCAATGCCAAAAGCTTGACTTCCCCGAGCGAGGTATGTACAGCTGCGGCAATGTATGTAATTTTCAAAAAAAAAAAAACAAGGACTGAAAATAACCGTTATTGTAATTTTTTTTACAAATAAAATCATCCATTAAATAAATGGAATTAATTTCGTTTATACTAAACAGAAAATGTAGCAATTTTTGCGATAATGGAGCTTAATGGCCAACCCATTGGCGAGCACGCTTATAGTGCATTTGATGCAGTTCCGGTCGTCGAAGAAGAGCTGCCCCGCCCCACCGAAAATACTTTTTACTAAAACAACAAGAAAAATATGAACAAAATTGATTTTTGACTTCGAAATAATGCCACAACCACAGTTTTTGAGATATTCCATGTAAGTTAGGTTCAGACAGTTTCTACATTATTTCTTTACAAAATAAGTTTGGTTTGTAAGTAATTAATGACTTTTTTCTTAGATGTTGACAAAAT